AAGGGGAATTTCTGTATGCAAATGAGAAGCTAATGAGGAGCCTCGTTTTAAAATACACAAAAATAAAGTTTCCGTAGACTGAGTTAAAAACACATTTTTTCACTTAAAAAAATTATTTATGCTTAGAAACATAAAAATTAATAATATTTATGTATCAATGGATAATTTTAGACGTGAAAATAGCAGCCATTTCACAGGCACTTTAAGACCAATTCGACATTACATCTCATTTTTTGATCATAGTAAAAAAAAATTCTTTTGCAAAAAACAGTGTAAGATTGTATTTGGGTTTTGGTGTGTGAGATTTCATGTAGATTGATGTGTGTGATATGGGTGTGTGAGATTTTATGTGAGACCAGGTGCATGTGATTTCATGTGGGTCCAAGTGCGCATGATTTCATGTGGGTCCAAGTGTGCATGATTTCATGTGGGTCCAAGTGCGCATGATTTCATGTGGAACCAGGTGCTTGTGATTATATGTGGGACCAGGTGTGTGGGATTCTATGTGAGACCAGGTGTGAATAATTTCATGTGGGACCAGATGCGTGCGATTTCATGTGGGACCAGGTCATGGGATTCTATGTGGGACCAGGTGTGTGTGATTCTATGTGGGACCAGGTGCATGTGATTTCATGTGGGACCAGGTGCGTGTGATTCTATGTGGGACCAGGTGCATGTGATTCTATGTGGGACCAGGTGTGTGTGATTCTATGTGGGACCAGGTGTGTGTGATTCTATGTGGGACCAGGTGTGTGTGATTTCATGTGGAACTAGGTGCTTGTGACTCTATGTGGGACCAGGTGTGTGGGATTCTATGTGAGACCAGGTGTGAATAATTTCATGTGGGACCAGATGCGTGCGATTTCATGTGGGACCAGGTCATGGGATTCTATGTGGGACCAGGTGTGTGTGATTCTATGTGGGACCAGGTGCATATGATTTCATGTGGGACCAGGTGCGTGTGATTCTATGTGGGACCAGGTGCATGTGATTCTATGTGGGACCAGGTGTGTGTGATTCTATGTGGGACCAGGTGTGTGTGATTCTATGTGGGACCAGGTGCATGTGATTCTATGTGGGACCAGGTGTGTTATTTCAAGTGAGACAGGTTATGTGTGATCCCATGTGGACCAGGTGTGTGCGATTCCATGTGGAACTGGGTATGTGTGATTCCATGTAGGACTGGGTGTGTGTGATTCCATGTGGGACCAGATGTGTGCAATTTAATGTGGGACCAGGTGTGTGGGATTCTATGTGGGACCAGGTGCATGTGATTTCATGCAGGACCAGGTGTGTATAATCTCATGTGGGAACAGGTGCATGTGATTTCATGTGGGACCATGTGCGTGTGATTCTATGTGGGACCAGGTGTGTGCAATTCTATGTGGGACCAGCTGTGTCCGATTTTATGTGGGACCAGGTGTGCATGATTTCATGTGGGACCAAGTGCGTGTGATTTCATGTGGGACCAGGTCCATGTGATTTCATGTGGACCAAGTGCATGTGATTCTATGTGGGACCAGATGTGTGTTATTTCAAGTGAGACAGGGTATGTGTGATCCCATGTGAACCAGGTGTGTGCGGTTCCATGTGGAACTGGGTATGTGTGATTCCATGTGGGACTGGGAGTGTGTGATTCCATGTGGGACCAAGTGTGTGACTGGATGTGTGCAATTCCATGGGGTGACTGGATGTGTGAGATTTCATGTTGGACCAGGTGTGATTTCATGTCGATTTGGCGGTGTATAATTTCATGCAGATTTGGGTGTGTATATTTTTATGTAGATTTGGGTGTGATATTTTCATATGGATTTGGGTGTGTGGGTTTTTTATGTGAGAGTGGGTGTTTCTGATTTCATGTGCATTTGGGTGTGTATAATTTGATGTGGATTTGGATGTGTGTATTCCTATGAAGTTGGTAGAATAAAAATATCCTTTTCCATGCATAGGGTAGTGTGTTAATAATGGTTGTTGTTTTTCAGAGTTTTTCAGCATTGCCTGGATACTTTCCTGTGGATGAAACCATTAGTAATATTCCTTTTGGATTCTGGTATATCATGCAGGTAAGTCTCAAATAGAGTCTCATATAGGAGTGACTTATTGTCGTCTTATCTACTTTTGTTATCTGTAATTTGATATGTATTTTCTTCCCTTAATTGAACATAAACAAATAATTAAATTTAGAGAAAAAGTGTGAAACATAGAAAAAAACACCCAGAAAGACCTAATTGTGTAACTATATGTAGTTTTATTTTATTGTCAATAATTAGAAACATTAAGGTGGACTTATAGCATCTGAATATTTGCTGAAATAAAAGAATAAACAGAAATTAGATAATAATTGTACATGTAAACAAATACACATTTGAAAATATGTAAAACAGGGTTCAAACTTGTGATCACGGTATTCACCTCATCAGGCAGACACGCTACATACCACACCACTCTCACTGAACAAATATTATGTAGTATTCCAATTACTGTAATATGCTCTATTTTCACTACTTTCGCTGAAGGGACGATTCAGTGAAATTAAAATCGAGCGAATATACCTTTTTTTCTCATGTTTTACATTCAGCTCATTAAAAATTAGCGAAAATGAACTCCAAACAAAACACCCAAAAAGTCTTTCCAGTGAAAATTAATTCCAGCTAAAATAAAGTATTTTACAGTACATGTGCATGAAATTAAAAAATAACGATAGTACGTGGTAGCAGAGGTACATTACTTGGGGTTTGCAACTACGGTGACATGATACCAAGATCCCGTTACAATCTCGCTCTCGCATAAGCGGTCCAACTCTGAAAAATGAGAATGCGCATGCCCGAGGTAACTAGGATACTGGGATGTCCAGGTGGATCAAAATAGCTGACCACGATATGACGGATTACGAGAACTATATTTTCTGTACATTTTCGATGTATTACATTTTTCACTACGATAGTGGCAAGAAAAGTTTTATTTTTTCATTACAAACCTTGAACATTGATATATATCATGTTAGAAGGTCGTAGCCTCAGTCTCGCTATCTACGAGATGAGACTTCAATGGGATCTTGACATGATGTCACCATACAGTACTATGCGAGTTGCAAACCCCAAGTAATGTACCTCTGGTGGTAGTCATTGGAGTACAGTTTTCAGTTTCATAAATTTGTTTGTATATTTGTTAGGTTTTAGATTTGGTTAGGGAATATGCAGAGTAATGGTGTGGACAGGTTCTGCTATTGACAGTGTGTTCTTAAAGAAGGGTTTGCTTTAGATGGTGTAACTATATTTCATTTCAGGATGATATCATATCAGCTGCTTCAGATCATTTTCAGCAATACACCACTGTTTACACACCAGTCTATATGCAGTTAGCTGAGGTGCTATTAAACAAAGTGCAATATCCACCAGACAGTGAATATGATGGCTGGTCAGCAGGTCAGTTTATATTACCATAGTTGTCCGGGTAAGTGCCCATGCCCGGGCAAAATTGAAATCATGTCCGGGTATATGCCCAAGGATCTTTTTCTACACTTGTAATAAAAAAATAACAAAAATTAATTTGTTCGTTGTATTAACAATTGACTTCCTTGCAGTCTTTTGTAATTCTGATAAAAAGTTTTGAAAAATAAATGTTAATTGCATAAAACGAGGGGTGAACGTGAAATACATGTAGCCATGACAGCAAAATAGGTAATTTTGCGTTCTGCCTTCAGGGCATATATGCATCACATGTCCATCTCAAGTCAATCTCAAGTCCATCACATGTCCATCACATGTCCATCACATGTCCATCACAAGTCCTATTTGTTACATACTCTCATCTTATAAATCCTTGGTGATAAATGTATGGCTCCAAATAAAATATTTATGTATGTACAATGTAGTTAAAAATTAACAAACATGAAACAGTGAGTGCTTCAATGGATGTTTGTTTTATTTTGTTTAATGATAACATTTGTTGTTTGCTTAACAGATGAAAAAGAAGAATTCCGATGTTACAGGCAGGATATTGCTGATACGCTGGTAAGCCACACCAACTCTATCATTTCCATGACGATGTGCTAAACCTGGAATATGTATAAATATTTACCTGACAGATGGCACAAATAAAGTCCTTAGCATGTTTTTATTGTTGATATCATTATTTAGACCTTATGATGTCCATCCTCACACATCACTGAAACACTCACTCATGAAAATGCATAGAATATTGATTTAAAATTGATTTAAAACTAAATACTATGTTAATTAGCTTCTAATTGACCATTTTCCGTACACTGCGAGAATCATGCGTTATGCGTGAAATCGAACGTAAAAACAGGACAAACAAAGGTCATAGCGTCGTAGTGGCGTCAAACATCGCGTGGGATTCGACAAACGCGAAAGTATTTTGGGGACATTTCCATGCTTAATAGTGTGCTGTCCACATTTGATGATAGGCAATTTCGATTAAGTAAGGGTATTCGGAAGCAATATTCCTCTGTCAAAGATCGGCCGGTCGGTGTGAGCTACGAAATAAGGAAATTCGAGTTCAAAATCAAATCGTTCTATTTTTGCGGCAGATGTTCGACGCGCGTCTTTCATGCATCTCACGAGATCTCGCAATTGTACGGAAAATCCCCTATTGAGTGGGAATCCAAAACATCCATTATTTTTCTGTTAACTTAAATACTGCTAATTTAAATATATACAACTCTTGCTATGTGTTAAAGTTTTAGGGGATAAAACTGAGATTTTATAGAATGAACATTTGAACCTAAAATATTATTTCAAGCATATTTTGAATAACTTATTTAACGTCACTCACTTGAATGTCAGTTAGTTCTTTGATTATTCATGAATAATGTTACTTCATGTATGTCGACTTTAATGCAATGCATGAAACAGAGTAAACGTTTCAAAGTTGCACACGTTCATATTCGATGTACCACTGCCCTTGAAACTACTTTTACTTATGGTTACTTTTAAGTAAGTCTGAATTCTCATTACTGGTACAATTCTGCTATTTAACAACTGAATCTAATAATGTAATTTCCATACGATGTGCACAGTAATACATTTCAGTTTTTTTTTTTTTTTTGTGTCAGGTGACAGTTCCGATCATTGAATGTCACTGTTGTTTCTCCTGACTTGTATGTGCAAATTGCAAGTGCTAGTGCTGACACATAGTGCATTTTTGCCACAGAAGTCATATTCATTTTTGGGACTACATGACAGGGCTCTGCGGCCATCTTCAGCCTTATTTACCATGGAGATTGTGTCATTTTCTTGACTTGCTGATCATAACTGTGTATTTTCTTTTTTCAGATGTATGCTTACACTTTACTACGAGAACCTTTTATTAA